CTATTAATCCATGAAAACAATTAAAATTCATGCATGGTTACCCTTGACGATTTCTGCCCACACACCTTGGAATTTATATTAACATATTTAAAAATGCATGTGTCTCTATTATCTATTTTTAAGCTGAACTGATATATTCCAATCATTAGATTTATGATTCAGTACATGCTAATTATTACAACTTACTCAGTGCAATCAGGGTCATTCCAATGAAGCAGTAAGACTGCACTTCTAATTTAACAGGTAGAAGAGTAACCATGGAAGCATGCTTAAAATTTCAAAGTCCTGCTAGTAACAGGCTTATAAGGTACCAAGCTTTTACTGCCTTTAAAAAAGAGTAATTGGTTTTATAGGATATCCCTTTGCATTGTTCCCAGAGATGCTGTTAGACTCTAATAACAAAAAAGATCGGGAATGTTAGCCTAGTTATAAATTTCATGTTTCTAAATGAAGACACCAGCATAATGCATTTTTGTAACTGATTCAGATCTGAAAGAAAATGCTTGTACAAAGATCTTCATCTCTGCCAATATTTCGAAGAGCAGTTAAATCTTAGCTTTTCTATAGATTTTGGAAATAGAATTTATGTAAATTTACCTGTTCTTGAAGTATTAAATGGTTTGTTATTACTGTATGATATTCTACGGTTTTAAACCTAATTGGCAATGGTTAGCCGTTTCTTTGTATATAGAAGCAGCAATGCGGTGTAAAACATGTCAATACAGAATTTGTTTTATTCAACATACCCCATTCTATCCATACATAATATACTTTATGTATCAAATTATAGCTTGATGAATAGTAGCTGCTTTTTCCATTTCTAAAGAAGAAAAAAATAAACACAAACCAGCATGATGTGTTCTATTTAGATGAACAAAATGTGCTACAACATAATGAGAAATCTGTGATGACTAATCCCACCTAGATTTATTTGGAACATAAAAGGCATTTCAGTGTGGCAAATTACATGTAACTTCATTACAGAATAAAGTAATAAATAAGCACAAAGACTCACAATAAAACTTAACTGAATTTTAAATTCCAGTTCAACTATAATTTTTTATTTTTACTGAAACGTTTACATCACTGCACTAAGTATTTTGATTTTTAAAGAACATTCCTGATATTAAAAAAACAATTCTTCTAAAATACAATGACAAACCTTTAAATTATGTACATTTTGCCACTTTATTTTGTAAAGTATCTAGTACAGTCAATTCATTTCTAGGTTTTCTTTTTAATTAAGAATTTCTTGCCATTAGTTTGAATTTTCTGGAAGAGTTTTTTTATTCTTGAATATTTCAAAGTACAGTAAAAAAACATTGGAACAATACAAGCTAAGTAATATGTATGGATATAGCCTCTGCCAGTATATTACATATAATATATCAATATCTTAAACTAGTAGACAATTACATGGCTGCTACAATACATAAAAGATTCAACTGTAATGCTCTGAAAACCATAAGGTATCCAATCATCTTTTCCACAAAAAGTGGATTATGTACATTCCAATCTAAGCTGCCAACCAAAGTAAGAAACTGTATGCAGTATACAAAACAGAAAGGACAAAAATACAGACAAGATTATTGGAATTTCATTTAGAATGTTTGAGATTAAAAATATTGTAAAAGAACCAATGTGGGCGTATTTACAAGATTTCCTAGAAATTTCTTCAACTTCAGAGATTTTGTTTCTCAAGTGTCTGTATTCTTAATTAGAAGACTGAGTAGAGTTTTATAATTTGTGACTAGACTCTTGCAGTAATCCAACAATTTTACAGCAATAGTCATATTTTTCAGCCAATATTGTAAAACGCTGCAAAACTTGATTCCACTGCAGATAACCGTTGTGCTAGTACTTTCAGTATTGTTTCTGCCTGTTAAATACAATTTTAAAAAAAATCAATTTAATATACCACTTTTCTCCTACTTCATCAGTACAATCTGAAGACAGTCAGAATGGATACTACCTTTCATTCCCCTATCTTATAACTGATATAATAGGGATTTGGAACTGCATGATACATTGATCTCAAACCAGCATTGTGCAAAAAGCTTAAGCAGTTGCATGAACATATAAAACTAGTGCTAATATATGTTTAATCAGAAAAACAATTATATTTTCATACAAAAGTACACAGGAAAGGATAAAGAAATGTATTTCTTTTCCACCCAAATTTTCCCTTAGCTGCTATTGACAGAATTTTACTTATATATGAATAAAAGATTTTAAGAATCCATCAATACATCTAAATAAATAAGGATAAAAGGCAAAATATAAATACAGAATAATTATCTTACCCTTTCTAACGATTCTTCTAAACTAGCTCGACTTTCAAGTGTGAGAGGTTCCTCATCAATGTCAGCTTTTTGTTCTGATGACCCTAAGGTATAACTTAGACATTTATAGTTATAAGTAGCATAACAATCATTTATGGGAACAATCATGACTATAGTACTTACTGCAATAGAATCCGTCAATGGCAGTGATTAAGGAAAAGAAAACAATTCTCATTTTTCTGTAGTAGTAATAATTAACACTAATATTACTAATGAGTCTTATGAATTCAGAACATAAGTAAATGATCAACCAATTCAATGTCATTTTAAAAAGAATGTCCAGAAGACATTGTAACTTTCTGTTTTCACTTGTTTACTAAGAATATTTGATTTTTATTGGTCAAGTGTTTCTGAAAATACAGAGGACTGATTCCCACCCAAGTATGGAGATTTGCAGGACAGCTGTGTTAACCTATGGTAGCAAAAAATCACAAAGAATGTAGTAGCATCTTTCCAACATATTTTGATTAACATTTATTACATTTTTATTAAAAGGCATAAGATTCTGTGAGCTGTGTTTTAATGACATTAGTTAGTTGAAAAATGTGCTATTAAACTTAATTTTTTTCATTTGCAGATGGCTATTTTATTCCCACATTGAGATTTAGAACCAAAAACTTTAAAAAAGAAAAACCATTGTGATTAGAATTATGCAAACACCAGAATTCTAAGTAAATAATATATACACAATGTCAACAATGTTGAAGTACTACTATAGATATGTGATTATAACTCCTTATCTCTGGAACTTATACAGACTTATTTTTTCATAAAGAGATGGATATAATATTTGAGGGAGAAAGAAGAAATGAAAGAATCTCAATGCTTGAAATCAAACAAAAATGAGGGCCGCCATTTCTGATGTATTTTTCTTCTTCCACAAAGCAGTAGCACAAAAAATGATGCTTCATAAATTTAAAGCAATAGGTAATAAATATTATTCCATTAGACTTGAAACATTCTATTTGCCTTTGCAGCAAAATAAAAATCTGAAAGTGAAGAAGTTAAATCTCTGAAGTAACCAATTCTACTTAAGAGATTATAAGGAAAATGTGATTAGCAAGTTCCATTGTAAGTTCACTTACCTTTCTAGAGAGTCTACCTTTAAGCAAAACAAATCTCGTTTGTAGTCAAGATGTCTTGGGGTACATCTATAAATGTTTCCAAGGTTCATGCTGCAGCCAGAGCAAAACAAGGTTTCAAGAATACTGTAAAACAAAACATCAGATTTTTAATAATATGCTCTAATTTAGATTTCCTACAAATGAAGCAAATAATACTGAAAGTTCCTGGAGAAACAGACATAATCTCTCACAGATTTTATCCTCACATTCAGGTTTGATCTCCCATTTTCCTCTCTCTTGCCTCTTGATTTAAAAAAAATGAAAAAAAAAGTACTATGTTGTGATAATGAATTGGTCTAACACAAATATTACTATTAGTTTGCTAGATTCAGATAAATTAAACAGTAGGGCATCTAAATATGGTTACTATTAAACTACATGGGCATGTCAAAACAAAAAAAACCCCCACTTTGATAAAAAATAATCAGCTACACCAACATGAAGTTCTGCTATAGGTCAATTATAACTTTCATTCTGAAGTTCTAATCATAACTTACCAGCCAGTTTCACCTGCCTGGCTTGAAAGTCTTTGCTCTTTGTCTACTGAGACATTGCGTGTAACACCTGAAATGTGAAAGGTACACATCAAAGCAGCAGAAACAAAATGTTCTCTTAAAAAGGCAGGCCACTTTAATAAACCAAAGAATACATAAAGCAATGTCAAGATTGTATGATAGTCTTCGGGCCAAAAAAGATAACAAAGTTTTTGTTTTAACAATTAAAGCATTTATATTCCGTTCCGAGTTGGGGGGGGCATAAAAACCGCCATTCAAATGAATATGTAACATAGAAAACTAAAGGTGAGTAAAAAAAACAATACAATGCAGTGAAACAGCATATGCAACCTAAGCAACAGATAAACCAGCTTTGTTGCACGTGAAATTTGCTGCAGATCACAAATTCAGACTGCAACTTAACTTGGGTTTGGGATTCCGCAACTGAAGTTCAACAATCAACACACATTAAAAAAGAAAAAAAAAAAAGAAATCTAAATAATCTGAGAAAGGGAGAAACGTTTAGCCTAGAAGAGACTGTTGCTGACTACAGGTAGTCCTCAACTTACAACCACAATTGAGCTCACACCTTGTTGTTAAGTGAGACATTTGTTAAGTGAACTTCGCCCCATTTTTACACCCTTTCTTGCCAGGGTTGTTAAAACGAATCGCTGCAGTTGATAAGTTGGTAACGTGGCCTGTTAAGCGAAGCTGGCTTCCCCGTTGATTTTGCTTGGCCAAAGGTTGCAAAAGGCAACCACGTGACCTCGGGAAACGGCAACCGTCGTAAGTCCGAACCAGTTGCGAAGCATCTGAATTTTGATCACACGTGGGGAGGAGGCTACAAAGGTTGCAAGGGTGATATAATGGACGTAAGTCGCTTTTTTTCAGAACGGTCGCTCAACGAACCGTTGTAAGTCGACGACTACCCGTACTACGTTAACACAGAAGCGCAGCCCGAGAAAGACGCGAATGGCCGCTGCCTCGACCACAAGCAGGCCGCGCGCGCCTCGAGGAATGGAACGGCACGCGCACGCGCGGGAAAAGAATTTCGACCAACCGCGCGCAGCGTTGCTAGGTAGCCGCGCGCGGTTTCTCCCCCCCCCCCACACTGACTGTTAAGCAGGATGCAATTGGTATCCTCGTCGTTAGTCTCCCAGCTGAGCGTGTCTCCTACAATCCGGTTGCATCTGGCGCAGAGGAACACCATAGGCAGGTCCTCCGCACCCGGCCCTTCCTGGTTATCGGGCCCTAGTGTGTCAGAGAATGTGTCCATCGGCAGAGAGCTTTCTTCAAACAGGAACGCCGCCATTTTTTTTTCCAAGCCACCCGCGCCGAACTCCGCCTCCTCTCTTGCCTCAATACCGGAAATCACGGGCGGCCCCTCTCTACCAGGTTGTTTCGTTTTCTTTCCCGAGGAGAGGAGGCAGAAGCAGTCGCGGGGCAAGAGGAGGGAGGGAGGATTTGGGCGCATGCGCGCTAACTCACGCTCTCCCGCCACCTGCGAAGGCCGCCGTTGGTGGATTCGCGGTGGAAGCTCTTTGAACGCGAACGGCTTGGAGCTGAGCTTGATAGCTTGCGAGCGTGTTTCGCCTGAAGAACGAGACATATGGACGCCAGTTTCATTTAGTTCTGAATCGTGGCTTGCATTTAGACCAGTGTTTCTCAACCTTGACAATTTTAAGGCATGTGGACTTCAACTCCCAGAATTCCACAGCCAGCAATGTTGGCTGTGGAATTCTGGGAGTTGAAGTCCACATGCCTTAAAATGGTCAAGGTTGAGAAACACTGATTTAGACTGTGCTATTCTATAATGCACTACTGTACTCTTTTTTTAAAAAAACCGCGTAAATGTATAAAAAAACAAAAGAAACTTGTGATAAAGCCTAAACGTGTGTTAACAGGTAGTCGTGGGGACCCTGCTGGGCCTCTCAAACGTTTATACTTTTTGGGATTCAGAGAGCTGAATCACCCAAACCCTACCCCAAAATGAAGTTTTTAATTAAATCTATTATGTAACCCTTGTCCTTTCTTGTCAGATTTCTATCAAGAGACTTGACAAGCAGCATCTGATATTCTAAAATGAATTTAAACAGTTGTTCAACAATCTGAATGCAAAGTATTTTGTACTGTTGGCATGAGATTTTAGCACAAACAATAACAGTGGGCATGGCTCCTACTCAAAGCAAGAGACATTCAGTGTCATTTTAGCATTTGGCAGCTGTTACAGCAGAAATGAAGGTCAGCCTGAATAGTTCTGCTATCTCAAGGTAATTAAGGATGTCAAATGAAAAAATTATTCACACAATTACAGCGTGTCATTATGGAAACACTGTAGTTTTGTGCTGGATCTATTAGAGTCCAAAGCTACCTTGGTTGTATTCCTGAAATGACTAATGCAACAAATTATACTGTGCCCTATGAATATTACCTGGATTACTTTGATCTACCTCCAGTTGATGCAAGTAATCTGAAAGCCAACAGATGTAAGTACTGCTGTTCTTTCCACTATGTAGGAATAAATATTTTATCCCCCCCTTAAATGAAAGAGTAAGTCATTCAGATATAAATATCTTAGGGTAGGAGAAATCTAGTTCAGGGAAACCTTGAATTCTAGGGGTGGAGATACGTGTAATCTTGATGGCCAGTGTTACACCTGGAATACAAAGGAAATAGATCGTAAGCATGTTTTATTTAAATAAAAATGTATTTAATTTTAATGGGTTGAATTAGAAAAATATGTCTTGAAAGTACACCTGCAACTTTAATTACGTTTAAGACTGTCAAAATCAACATTTAACTTTCACTACTACTGTACCTTAATACTTATTGATCTCAGTAAGTCTCAGCCAAACTGAGAATGATAGTTTCCATTTGTAGTGGAAATGTTGCATACATTTTAAATACAGCACTGAAGACCTCTTGAATAATTAAACAACAAAGGCCATGTATATTACATGTATATAAATATGCTGATATTTATATTTATTTGAAGAGTTCTAATTTATTTTTCAACAGATTCAATTGTCATAGGCTTTTGGATTGGACTTGTTTCTTTTGTGGCATTTCTCTTCTTTATTTTGTTCTACATGTCTCGATCTGGTAGAACATCCATGAAGTGAGTGAAATATCTTTTATTCTACAAATGGGTTTGTAGTTATAAAGTTTGTACAGCTCTAGAAAAATTGGCATACTGAAAATAGAAGCTGGAAGGGACCTTGGAGGTCTTCCTAGTCCAGCCCCCTGCTCAAGCAGGAGGACCTATACCATCTCAGACAAGTGACTGTCTAGCCTCTTCTTAAAAAATCTCCAGTGATGGAGCGCCCACGATTTTTGGAGGCAAGCTGTTCCACTGGTTAATTGTCCTCACTGTCAGGAAGTTTCTCCTTAATTCCAGGTTGCTTCTCTTCCAACCATTGTTTCTTGTCCTGCCCTCTGGAGCTTTGGTGAATAACGTGACCCCCCCCCCTTGGTAGCAGCCCCTCAAATACTGGAATACTGCTATCATGTCTCCCCAACTTACATATGATTTAATAAACCACTGGATTTAAACAGTGGTGGGATTCAGCCAGTTCGCATCAGTTCGGCAGAACCGGTAGCTAATTTTTTGTTGCCCAAGCCCAGAATGGACTTCCAGAAGCAAACCCCCACAGAGATCCGGTTGTTCACATATTTGAATCCCACCACTGGATTTAAAGTATAACAGTAAATTAAACATAGTCAGGAGAGTTCCTAATTATTTTCAAATCAGTTTTTCTGAAAATACTTTTTCAGCACCTCTTAACAATGGTAAAGTCCTCATGATGCTTAAGAGTATTTCAAGATACAAATAAATAAACCCAAGCAATTTGTATATTTATCGCATGCATTTAGTATTGGAAATGTGGCCAATAACCAAAGAAATTTGTTTGAACCTCAAGAAAAGATATTGAAGGGTATCTACTGAATACTGCAGACCTATCAGATTCCTATAAACTTCCTCACTCCCTTCTACAAAATTGGCAGGTTAGATCCAAATTTATTCATGTCAATTTACTTTAGTTAGAAGATTAGTTTTAACTAAAGTAAATTGAAATAAATTTGGATCTAATCTGCCAAATTTAGTGCTGTTTTATTTTAAAGATTACAATGTTTTACAAAACTTCTACAAATGAGTTTTTACATCATTTTTTTGTGGGAAGAATGTCTGCATATGTACTTGCAATTTATATATCTTTGATGTAGTGTTTTATAATTTACAGAATACATTGATCTTATAACCTATTTCACATAGACAACCTCTCAGAAAATGATCTGTACAGATAAATACTGCATTGCTGGGCATTGACCAAAGAAATATTACTGGGACTAAACATTATAGAGACATTGTTATCAAAAACTTATTTAGTACTGAAACATGCAGTTGAAATCCTCACTGTTATAAAGTTCAGTGTGATTTGAGCCAATAAATTTATTACATGAAATTTGATTATCGGTTATTATTGATCTCCCATATGACCTGACAATACTTTAAATATAGTCAATTTTAATTTAGCAATTTTGTTCCCAGGACTAGAGGATCCAGGAAGTTTCCATGGAATTATTCAGAAACTATTCATCAAAATCTTGTTAATAATGACACTGTACGAACATCTATAGATAACCAAGGAGAAGAAATTGAAGGGCTGTGTTCAAATAATAGGTTACCATGTCACCATATGGACAATTCGGTGTAAAACCTTCTCACAAGTGAAATATGAAGCCTGCTACATATTAAAATAGTACAATGTGCTAGGAGGAATACCTTTGTAAAAAACATTTAATCATTCTTTTTTAAAAAATACTTTGGCTTTTTTGTTATATAACAATCATTGTAGTATCTAATACAAAAGGGTAGATTTAACAGAAAATATGAAATCCACAATTTAATTTCTAAAAAAATATCAAATGATTTATACATAGATGAGACAAAATGTTGTTAACTTTACGTATACAGTTTAGTACCTCAAAATCATGCTTCAAATCATTTAGGAAATTGAACAAAACCAAAATCAGATGCTCTACTCTGGTGAATTACTAATAGAAATATTACATTACTTGTATTTTTACATGATATACAATGATTGTTGTAAAAAAAACTGGCTGACTCTGCAGATTGACTTTTGTCCTAATTGAAAATAAATTGTGATTGAACAATATTTAAGACTAATTAAAAGTAGTTATGTCTGAGATTCAGTGAAACAAAATACAGTGGTTCTATATTATAAATTATTCACTTTCTAAAATACAAACATTTGTATGTATGTATATGCAACATTAAAGTTGCACATCCTTTTATCTGCATAGAATATATCATCTATTACAAGCAGCATTATTATAAAAATTAAAAAAACATTTTTTCTGTTTCTGTAATGCAATGTACACAATAGTGTTGGGCAACATTTTCCAATGACAGGTATAGTTCATTTTCTAAGAATTACTGGAAATGTAATAATCAGGTTGGATCATTTTTCCATAATTTGGTAGCAATGTTGCAAAACTCAACAACACTGAAAAACAATCTCTAATGGATTGAAACAATTTATAAAAGGTTAGTTTCCTTTCCAGCCAATTTAATTAAATATTATCAAAGTTTATATTCCCACAAAGTACACTGAAGCAGCTTTGTACATGTTAATTGCTGCAAGGATTCTTTACACTTCTGTAAAGTACACAGAATTCCTTCCCAGAATAATGTAGGAGTATATGTCCAAAATAACTTTCATATTTCTAAAGTAAATTGGATGCAGAATGTACTTTAATTTGGAAACCATTTAAGGATCATAATACCATATATGAGTTTGTACCACATCCAAAATTTCAGTTCTTTTAGCATAAAGTGATAATATTCCAAATTTCAGTGATCTGTTTCAACAGAAATTACTATCATTCATTATACACTATTACTTTCTGATTTATAATATGCTCATTTTACTGTTTATATATTACTTGGATTTTAAATATAATCATGTAGGATACTCAATTATATAAAACTAATATTAAAAATGTTTATCTTAACAAATTTAATTTTAGCCAATTTGTCTGGAGGCCGTACGGGTGTCTGGAGGCCGTACGGGTCTGGATGGGGAGAAACAGACTCAGGCTCAACCCTTCCAAGACTGAGTGGCTGTGGTTGCCGGCTCCCAGGTATGGTCAGCTGACCATACCTGGGGCGAAACTTTGGCCCCCTCGGAGAGGGTACGCAACTTGGGGGTCCTCCTGGATCCACGGCTGACACTGGAAGACCAGTTGGTGGCTGTGGCCAGGGGGGCGTTTTACCGGGTGCGCCTGGTGCACCAGTTGCGGCCTTTTCTGGACCGGGATGCCTTGCGCACAGTCACCCACGCTCTTGTCACCTCCCGCCTGGACTACTGTAATGCTCTCTACATGGGGCTTCCCTTGAGGAGCACTCGGAGGCTCCAGTTAGTCCAGAATGCGGCCGCGCGAGCGGTNTGTTTCAGCGGGCAGGACTGGCCTAGGGGTATTTTAAATTGTTTTTTAGCCAAATTTTAGTAGAAGCGGCCGATTATATATTTATTTTTAATGATTTTTAAAATTTCTATTGTATTGTATTAAACTGTTTTTAACTGGCTGTAAGCCGCCCTGAGTCCTACGGGAGAAGGGCGGGGTATAAATTTAATAAAATGAAAAAATGAAAATGAAATTTGCTTGTAAATTCCTTGATTCACTTCATTTTTTTCCTTTTTGGCCCCCCTTTTTCATCTATTTGTTTTTTTCTCAAAAATCTTAATATATATTAATAAATATAATAATAAATTAATTCATAACATAAGTCAGACTTCATTACACCCTTATGGAAAATAGCTAAGCACTTTTGTAAAATGATGTGGCAGATAATTCCTTGTAAATAGATATGACAGACTAGCCTGGTAACCTGACAAAGCCAACATAAAACAAAGTATAATCTTGACACTACTATGATTTTGTCTTCTTTCAGCCTTTTCTGGATCCAGATATGGGATTGTATGAACCTTGTGCATTGTGTATCTTCGAATTAAAGGAATGGCTTCTGTTTGTGCAGCTGAGAAATCATATTTAGCTGAAGCAATTTCTGTAAAACCTCAATTATTTTAAAGTTTTGTGGACACAGTTATAAGCTTTCTAAAACAGGACAGATTTCTAACAAGAAATGAATACTCAACAGTAGTTACAGTATTCACACATAAAATTATTATGCAGTGATCTGATTAAAGAAAACTATTTCAACATTGGTTACTGTTCTTATGGACATTTTAGAAGCTTCAGAGAAGGAAAAACTCCTTTGGAGCATGGAAGTACATATACTAGGGCTGTATATGCTTCAAAAATAATTCAGAAAAATATCCTTATTACGTTTTTTCTCAGAATTCTACATGATGAACTTGATACATAGTGCTCTTAAAAGATCACCCCATTAAAGCACTGTCAGCTTTTAATGTGATTTATTAAAACAATCTTGAAAAAAAATGCAGTTGCTTTAAAATGGGGTTGTTTCTCTATTCTTGCATATAACAAAACACCATTTCTAAAACCATTTTCAAAGCATATGCAATTCTAATGGACATCTTTATTTCATACAACAGTAAACATTACTCTATGTTTATTTTACTGCAAAATTATTAACTTCAATGTTTTGTTCATTATTTTTCCAGCAGTGTAAAACATATAAAACAATACCAGCTTTGCCAAATTCTGAAAAAATATTAGTTTATTTGAAATCATACCTATAACATACAGTTGTACTACTATTAGGAAAATAAACATTGTTTTTAAAACAATTTCTGTAGGATTTCACCCAATGGTTCTTTTTATTTTTTTAATTTCAAGATAGGAAAGTTGACAAATGTTTGAGTTGAAGACTGAAAGTGAGGATGAAGATTTAAAAATGAGTATATGTCTTTGCAGAGAGAAACCATCGAGTCTTCAAATTCCAACCTTTTTTTGTCATTTCGTTCAGTATCAGTTGCTCCACATATTAATTTAATGTGTCTCATAAACATGTCTGGTTGCCTTGCTCCTAGCCAAATGTCTCCAATATAAATTGAAGTAAGGAAAATGCTTGCAGCTAGGAAAAAGAAAATGATAGTTACAAAAGGGGTATGCATAACGTGGGAAAACAACTTTGTTTCAAACTTGAAAGAACCTATCCTACTGCAGAGATTCTGTCATGGTATGTCAGGCCAAAACCCATAAAACTTTGATTCTTCCAAGTTTCATACAAAATAAAATTTAGATGAGTGAGACAAGGCTTATATATGCTATCCCACGTCCTTTCACTTCTTAGCAAATCCCAGCAGCATACCTCTCTGGTCTCTCCTCAATTTTCTCAATGACTTCCCTTCTCAGCCTCTGTTGATGTCCCAGTATGACATGTGCCACCATGCCATTCACGAATTGTCCCCATCAGCTTCCCTCCCCTCAGCTACTGAGGTCTTGACTTTTCATGTGCTTCTCCCAGCACACTTCTGCCCTGATTGAAATTGACCCTTTTTATTTTGTACTGAGAATGACTTGCATGGAGAATGGTTTAGATCCTGGATATCCAACATGGGCCACACTGTGTGAAGAGGAATTGTCTTGGGCCACATATAAAATATACAATATAGTTAATGTGTATAAATCACATAAAGTTTATGGTCTTGTGGGCCTGCATTACTAGCTGTCCAAGGCTACATGTGCTCTGCATCTGGCAGGTTGGACATGCCTAATTTAGATATTCCTAGTTATTAGTATTTGAGCATCTGATTTATAGATTTAATTTAGTCTGCAAAAGATCTGCCATTGAATATCTCATCTTCCAGTAGAGCCCACCCACTCCAGTTATAACCTCAACCCCCCAAATATTTGAATAGCTACTAGAAATGTTGTATTGCCTTGACTTAAAAGTAGCAGAAAAACTAATACTTGAAGACTCAAACAGTTAAATATTACTGTACACTGTAGTTTTAAAGATATTAAAGATATCTATGGAGATTCTTAGTCATCTAGGTCGCAGTTGTCCCAAAAGTGCTTTTTTAAAGAATAACTGGACTTTCTTGTTTTTCCTTGAAGATGTTTCACTTCTCGTCCAAGCTTCTTTATTTCTGAAGTTCTTGGATGAGAAGCAAAATGTCTTCAAGGAAAAACAAAGTCCAGTTGCCTTTTGAAAAAGTACCTTTGGGATATTAAAGATAATTTATGCTAAAACCCAATGTTCTGAACTGTTATTTGCCCTTGACTGTAACTCATCTTCTGGAAATTTTAATCTGTATTATGATATATAGCAAATTCCAAGGTTTCATAAGCAGAACAGCCTTTTTTCAATTTGATGATTTCTAATCATAGCTATAAGTTAATAGACATGAAGTTTAGCATATGTCAAAGGCAACATGTAGGGAAAGGACAGAGTATTTTTTGTGGGGGAAAACAAACAAATTACCTTTGTTCACTTCTGTCACTTCAGTGAGGCAGAATTTTTTCACTGTCCCGTGAAAATTATTTTCTGTCAGGCCCCGAGATTCTAGTAGATGGAGCATGATTCCATTAAGCACAGAGAGATCATTCAGTTTCACAACTTCAGAGGCATTACAGATGCTACTATAAAGCTTAAATATAGCCCTTTTCAGTGATCCATCTTTAAGAATATAATCCAATACAAAGTTGTTTTCAAAAGCACATTTTTTAAACCACCAGAAAGTCAGGAGTACATTCTGAATGTTCAACTTGTCATCAAGGAGGGATGTCACAAGCCATCTAAATACTAAATAAGCAATCTTGCATGTAAGCTCTGGATTACTATATCCTTTCTGTTCTGTTGGAGATTTTGTTGATATTTCCAGTAAAATGGGTTCCCAGTGGATAAAAACAGATCTCAGAAGAGTTTTGCATTCATTTAAATGGATTTCTTTCCATACAGAGATTGCAGCTGCCTCTATTTCAGTTTTGCTCTTTCTCTGAGCTAGTCGGATTGATGCTTGCGAGTGTAACCGTGGTTTGTTCCTGTCTGTATTTTCTGAATTAGATAAAAGCAAAAACCTTTTTATAAACAATGAAATAAGGGTAATCAATGAGTAATTGATTATGAGTACTAAGGCAGAGATGAATCGACAGATATTGTCATGCAGATTAACTTTCTAGTGAGTATGCTAATTACCTCAAAAAGTAGCAGATTTACTATTAAAGAAATACCAGCAAGTTAACTATTGCACCTCAATTATTAAAAAAGCAAATGTTAATTAATACCTAACAAGATCTCTGGAACAGCACCTGTTTTGTGCAGCAAAAATATTTGTATCAAATGCATCAAAGGTTTATACTCTTTGTCTTTAAAATTAACATTTTTTTTAAAATTTAGCTAAACAGAATCAGATGCATGTTCACATTACACAATATGAGGTTGTTTATATACAATATCCCTACATATTCTCAAAGTATTTTAACTCCCTTACAGTTCTTCCTCAATCATTCCTTCCTCATCAGAGAATGTGCTTACATAGATATTTCATTTCCTAAATTAATCTTTGACAAACCAAAACACTGATGATGTCCCTATTTCCAATGCCTTCATGTTATATAAATAAAAATGTAAATGTTCGTTTGTTCAAAATCTTAAATCTCCGAAAGTTCTTCACCGATTGCTTTGAAATTTTGACACAACGTTGCATTCGAATACGCGCGTGTTTTTATATACCTACTATTATATAGATGTCACACCTGTGACAGGTAAAAACATGCTTTTTTGAAAAACAGCGCCATCTGTTGGACATAAAAGCAACACACACTAGCATTGTGAAATTAAACATATTACAAGCGTGCGCTTTCTCTTTTCTTTCTTTTCCATTTAACCAGACTGAGCCACAGCAACGCGTGGCCGGGTACAGCTAGTGTTATATAAAAAGCTTTTGACACTGACTTTCAGTGGGCTGAACATGAAGCTATTCAAATTAATTTCCCATCATGAATCAAGGAGATTTTTCCCCCCAAATATATGCCTGCTGAATTCAATGTTCTAGAGTAACTCATCTGGCAAGCAACATATTGATTTGTGAGAGTTATTACAAATGCAGGAATCTATTTTAATCTCAGAATAAGTGGCTGTTTTTGTAGCATTTGCTGAATCTAGACACTGATATAACAGCAACTCTCTGAAGTACTTTGAGAATACTTACTAAGCAATTCTTTGATTTGGTATTGTTGTGCAATAACATGCAGGTCATTCTGAAGTTCCATATCTTTACTAATTATACTCCACTTGTACAAAAGTAGCAAAACATCATTGTTTGAAAGGATATGTTCATTTATAATGAATCTGCCCATTTCTCTGAAGGCTTCAAGAACCAGAGTACGGTATTCCAATACAGAACTTAATACATTGAAAAACTGAATAAACTCAACAGGATCCAAGTTGGTTCTATTTAGCAGAAGACAGGAGACAAAATTAGGACAAAATATTTATATGACTTCAACAAATAATGACTAAACTCACTGTTGATTTTATTAGACACCAAGTAGTTAATCTCATTCTCAAATGAAGCAAAACAAGAAACTGATGGATAGTTTATACATTATTGGAAAACATTACCAACATGGCATAAACACTGTATCTATCTATTAATCTTATAGAAGATTAGTATTAATATGTGACTTGGAGCCAATGACTTATCAATTTTTATGGGTTCTGAATCTGTTGTTCCCTGGATGGGGAGGGACCAACTTTGACTCAATCCTACCAAGACCAAGCCATGGATTATTAAGGCCCACTGCATCTGGGAATGTTCAATCTTTAACCAATGCAATTTAGGGCTCATGCTCTGTAAGCAGGTGGCAGCTGTGGTCGTAAAGGCATTTGTGCAACTCCAATTGGCGCACCAGTTGCATCTTTTCCTGAATCAGGAAGCCCTAGGCACCTTGTGGCTTAACTATTGCAAAACTGATAATCTCAACTTCCTTTTTTTCCCCCTAGGAATGTGTACACATGAGGGGGGAACCATAAAAGATACATTTATTGTATTGTTCAATAAGAAGTAAAATTAGATGTAACATCTCACTTAGATAAGAATATCTGTAGGGGGTCAAGATAGGTCAAAAGCCCACCTAAAACAAAGGCTCAAAAGATAAGCTGTACATACTCAATTTTGCTAACAGGATCCAAACTAATGTGAAACAACCTTCAGAAAAAACTCCTAAATCAGTAGTCACTGCCCAGAAAAAAACGTTTTAGCAATTTGAGACAGAAATTCCAAATGATACAAAGCATGAATTATGGAAGACAGGCCTGACTTCAGCAGAAAATATTAATGGCTAGATTGGGGTAGATTATGATGACAAATATTACTCTTGTTTACAATGAAAAAGTAATTCTTTTTGTAATGGAAAAGCACACGCCAAAGCAGTATACAATACCTTAAAAATAGATAATAATTACCGGATGTGGTTAAGAAGTGTGAGCAGAACATGGAGAAATTCATTAATAAGCTGGATGGGAAGGAATTTCTGATTCTCTTTTAATTCCAATTGGCTAGAAGAATTGAGTGAAGTTTGCTTATTTCCTAAATTAGTTTTCCAGAGAGTTTGGATTAAGGAGATTACACGTATTAACAACTTGTTTTCTAGAAACCTAGAAATAAAAAAAGACAAGTATTTCAGGAAAACATTTAATTTTATTGCTATATGTTTTTTATATTATAAAAACTCGCATTTTTAGGAACTGACAAAGTAGTCAGAACATATGAATTCAATTTCTTTTATATAAATTTAAAATTAGCTCTTACAATTTGGGTTAAAAAAAATACTTGCAGGCATAGTAGCATTCAGGATAACACAAGAGTAGTTACCTGGGTTACTTTTATACTAATTTCAATTATACAATATTACATTCTTCAAAATCTCTTAGCAAATAAAATTTTGAATACATCACTTGCTTTAAGTGAAGTCTGATATTTTTAAAAAAGGTGACATATTTTGAACTGAGGTTTTATTTGACCCTGAAGTACTTCTTAAGCTTTTAATAAATTTACCAAGTCATTTTTCTTTTTTTTTTTCAAATATAAGTTTTTTATTGTTTTCAACATAAAAAAAAAGCACATCACAGATACATCACAATTGAGAAAACCCCTACCCCCCACCCCCCACCCGGACTTCCCAAACCTAATCCCAGGATACTATTCAACTAAAAGTAAACTAATATTAATATCCCTAACTCCACAAAGTGTTATTCTACATAAGTAGGTGAAATATATATATATGTATATAAAAAAAAAGTTTTTATCTAAAAACCTAAATTATATTCCACCATTCTATACTTATTTTGAATATAAACAATCCATCTTCTCCATATTGATAAAAATTGTTCATTTGAATGATCCTTCAGATAAGCCGAAATTTTTGCCATTTCAGCAAGATGCGAAACCTTCAATCTCCAGTCCTCCATTGTAGGTAAAACTTTACTCT